AGACTGATGCCGTGTTCTTTTCCATTTCTCCTCTGGTTACATTGATCCTGTACTTTTGCTGATGTTGTGACAGTCTAATTATAGTCTTCTCGGCTGCTGAGCAAACAGTCGTCCCCTCTCGGTAAATCTGCCTGTTACACAAGCGCCAGCTCTGGGACACTGTCATTATGTGCAGCCAACCCCATGATGTGCCCTGGGCGGCACAGCCTTGCACCCTTTAGTTCCTTGACACTCGGTGGTTGGAGCTGGAAGCACTGGAAATGAGCCAAGCCGGGTCCGTTTTTCTTTTTTTTTAACCAATGGGGAAACTGAGGCCCAAAGCAATAAAGTGACCGATACTACACACAGCTAGGGACTTGAGGGAGGGGTGGTTATCCAAGACACCTTTTTTCTTCTCCTTTCCTTCCTTTCAATTTCTTTGCTTTCCTTTCTTCTTCTTTTTTCTTTTTCCATCAGACAAATACCAAGTGCCTATTCTAAGAATTTTGAAGAGGAAAAATGTTGCCTGGCTAAGAGCAGAGCGTATGGCAGGGTGGAGCCAGCTGGATGGCCTCCATCCGAGAAGCTTCTCAAGAATCCATTTTTCCTGGCCCTCGGACTTGTAGCTTCAGAACCTTGCCTGTGTCTGGGTCCCAGGGCTAGGTGGATTAAAGGATGCTAATTTGCTCACACAGTGTTCACAAGAGATTGAGGTATGAGACTGGAGGGGAAATGGCGCGTGTTCTGGCTATCTGGCCTTGGAACCGCCTTCCTCTGTTTGGAGAATCCTCTGTCTTAAGAGGCAGAGCCCAATTCCCAAGGTGAAAATGGAAGCGAGCAGATAATCTTTCCCAGGCTTCTTTGCAGCCAGGGCTTGGGTGCTCCATCTGGGCCCTGCTGATAAGATGTACCCCACCACCTCAAATTTTGAATCAGAAATATGGAGACAAACAGACTGAATATAGAGTGGTGGTGGCAATGGTGATGGGGACAGTTGCATTTAGTCTCCAGAGGCAGCAGCTGCTGGCCAATGTCTTTGGTGACATCAAGGTATTTTCCTGTACCAGTACACAATATGATTTTTAGGCCATGTTCCTCACAGCAGAATCAATTGGCCATGTTGTCCAGCAATCCTGCTAATTCTGTGGGCTCCCCAATGCCATTTAAATAAATTCTATTTTGTGTAAATCAGCAAGAGTCGTTTTTGATTGTTTGCAACCAAAAATCCAGGCTGGATTGGAAGCCCAATGTATAAACTGAGAACTACACCTGTAAGGTGTTAGCCATTCCTGGCAATGGGGCATCCACCTTCTTCTGACAAGCTACATGGGAACAGCAGGGGTCTGTCCCCAACAGGAACAGACTCCAGTGTTGAGTTTCAGGCACTGGGATGGGTTGGTGAGAAACACATCCTGGACCTAAATATGTGGCAGCTTTCGAGTGGATCCAGGGCTTGGTCCCAGCAAGTGAAACGATCAATTAACTATGTACACTGGTGGATTCCCTTTTCCCAGAAGGGAGGTTTGAAAAGCATTAATCCTCAGATAAGACATCTGGAGCCCTAGAAGTGAAGGCAGCCACAGCAAGGGATTGAGCATTCACCCTCCTCTGCTCTCATTGGACTTGTTTGCCAAGCTGTCCTGATAGTAACATGAGAAAAGGGTACCAGACTGGCAGAGAGATGGACGTTGTGGATGAGGCCACTGCTCTTATGTGTATTCACTGCCTCATTTGATTGGCGCATAACTCCATGAAGCAGGTAGGCTGACATTACCATCTCCATTTTTGAAAGCTGAGACTCACAGAGGTTAAGCCATTTGTCCAAGGTTACATTTTGGCTGGGACAAAGATACAAGCTGTTGGATTCAACAGGGATACAACACCAGGGAAAGGAATCCAGAAACACACAGGTGGGAGGGATAAGTCAGCACTGCTTATCTTTGGCATCCTCTCTTCTCTGGAAGTGCTACCACCTTCCCTCTTTCTGGGTCCCCACCATGACTATGCCCCCTTTACGCTGCCCTGTACAGTGTCTCCTCTGACACACTATGCTTGAGCCAGCCACTACAGCCAAGCACAAGATGCAGCCCATTCCCACCCCCATTCTATCCAATCTGACCAGTCCCAGGTTCTATTAATCATGGACTTTGCTCCAAATAAAACTTAACACCTTCTTACTCCAAAACTAGTTTTTTATTTTTTCCCCCTAACACCCAAGAAAAATATTGGCCTGAAGAAGCCAGAGAGGAAACGGATTTATTGGTGAGTTCTAGGTGGTCACTAGAAATCCAAGTCATATTTTCACTCCCCCAGAGACTCACTAGGATGTAGACAAAGCCACTGTGGAGGTTTTAAAATAGGTCCAAAATGCTTTGATGTTACTTTGTTTCTTGATCTGTATGCCAGTAACACAGGTTTGTTCAGTTTGTGAAAATTCACTGAGCTGTGCTTTTATGAGCTGTGTACTTCTACTCTGTGTATATGCAGATAAAAATTGTACCTGAAATCAATATAAAAACTATGTTTAGCAGAGGGCATTTGAATAAATGTTTATAATGGTGATCCACCATTCAAGACTTGAGAAACTGATGAATTAGGGGAAAACTAAGCACTACACAAAAGGTGTTTCTTGCCTGACAAAAGAACAGCAGAAATTCTTTGCTTCACTATAAGATTTCAAATAAAATATTGAGACATGAATATTTTTCAGAGTCATTGCTACAAAGAAGGCAAACTTGCATTTTAATGAATTTTGATCAATGATCAATTGATCAATTTTGATCAATGAATTTTGATCCTCTGGTTCCTCTCCTTCAGCTTTCCCAAGCATCAATCAATAAATTACTAAGAATACAACAACAACAAAAGTCTTTAAACCATTTTGATTGGATAGGCTATAGCAAAGGATTGGAATCTGGCAAGGAAGCACCAACAATCTTGGAAGTATAGTTTTAATATCTGGTTCCATGCCCAATGAGCAGGACCTGGTAACTTCCTAGATTTCTTCCAGCTGCAGGATGCCATAGTTTTATAAGGTAGAGAGAAGACAGTATATTTTTTTTAAAAAAAAGGTGAAAACAATTCTTAAAAAGTCAAGTAATACCCCAGGAATAAAAAAGAAGCAAGGGAAAAATATACACATGTATGAATATAAGAAATTTCTTTGCTGCTTCTTAGTTCTCCCTTCTTCCTCACCAGAGTTATCTAATTTTTTTTTTTTCAGGGAGTTGAACAAAATTTCATCTAAGCCAAAATGGAACTAAAACATGCAAGATCAAATTTTAGGTTAAGAATTTCTGCCCTTCCTTGAGGCTACCTGTGCAAATGGCATCCAGGAGGCAATGAAAAAGTAGAAGCAGTCTAAAAGACAATGTAATTATTTTCATTTATTTTTCATTGTGATTGGAAGTTTATGGAAGGATGGTTGTTACTTGCACAAAGCTTTATAGGCAACAAAAGTTAAAACAAGTTTTTACGAGAAAACAGATTATCTTTATGACCTTAGGATAGGCAGGGATTTCTTAAACAGGACTCAAAATGCAAGTTATAAAAGATAAGCAATAAATTGGACTTACTTAAAATCAAGGATTTCCGTTCATCAAAAGATAATATTAAAATAACAAAAAGGAGGTCACAGATTCGAGAAGGTATTTGTAATAGATATATTAGACAAAGAACCATCCAGGGTATGGGGTCATTAAGACAGACAACTCTCCACAAATGCACAAAAGCTTTGAACAGACACTTCACTAAAAGCATATCAAAATGGCCAAAAAGCATCTAAAAAGTTGCTCAACAATCAGGGAAATGAAAAATTTAGATCACAATGAAATATGCATCCCCTTTTTAGATTAAAAATTGGTCAGTACCAATACTGGAACAACCAGCCAACTCACATCACTAGTAGAAGATAAATAAAAGTTGTAATAAACAACATTGGCTACTATTGGGCATAAATAGCCCTTATATACACTTTATATCAAGTACTTAACCAACTAATACCTTTCCAAGTATTTTTTTTTTTTACTTAATACTTATATAACCCTACAAAGCTGTCTCATTCTTGGTTCCATTCTACAGATAGGAAATGGCAGAATATAAAGAGTTAATGACTTGTCCAAGATCTCACAGATGTGAATGAAGATCTCCACTCAAGTTAGTCTGAATTCAGAATCTGGGCGGTCAACCCCTTGCTACGGAATGGACGGACGGTGTCCTGGCCCCGCCTGCATGTTATATAACGTACACGACTAAGCCCTGTGGCATTCTGAGCAGGGCAAAAGCTATGGTGGTGGCCAGGATTGGTGATGGATTCCCTGAGGCTCCTAAGCCCCACTAACTGCACACAGGTGAGTGGCTCCCTGATGCCAAAGAACCACCAACTGCGCGCTTTCCCCAAGACCACTTTTTCACCTCCAGCCAATTTGCTTGGGGAATCATGAAGCCCCCTGGTGCCCAGAAACTCTGCAGTTTTTCCCCGAACTTCACAGACACGCCGGAGGTCGGCGTGAGCGTCTGGCTAGTTCCTTACTTTTGCAGCCAAGGAGAAGCAGTGCGAAAATTCCCAGAACCGAATTAAAACAGGTCTGCGAAGGAGCAGGAAAAGCCACGGCGGGAAGGTGAAGGTTTACACTAAAGGAATAGCAGCAGAAAAGAATTAAGAGGACAACAGAAAGAGAGGCGTCCAGGGAACCACCAAGTTCAAGCCCGGTTAACACGGCCCCTCTCTATTACGCCTGCGCGGTGCTACCTCCCTTCCCACCCCGCCCCTTCCCGCCGCCGAAGATTTACTCGTCTCTCGGCAACCATTCAGCCGAGCAGCCAATCAGTGGGCTCCGTCCGCCCTGCCCAGCCGTCAGCGCCCCAGCGGAAGGATCCCGAGGGGCAGGCTCCGCCTCGCCCCGCCACTGGCTCCCTCGGGAGGGCCGGCCTTGGGGCGGGGACGGGGGCAGGGGCGGTGGCGGCGGGCGGGGGCGTGGTCAGGCCGAATAAGAACGGAGGGGGCGGCGGCTGGACGGCTCACTCGGTGCCACTGCCTGGGGGCTGTAGTGACCGCGCCGCTCCTCCGGGGGGCTGCCCACGCCAAGGACCAGCCTCTGTTGCCTTCTCTTCCACCTCCCAGGTGAGTACACGGTTTCCTCCTCCAAAGGTGCTAGGATGCAGCGGCGGGCTTCGAGGGTCTTTTCCCCCCCAACGGTGCTCCAATCCTTGCGGTGCCTGCTGGGAAGCTCCAGGACAGGAGGGGAGGTGCGGACAGGTGCCCAGACCTAGTGCTCCTGTACCCTCCTGCTCCCGCGAAGAATGCCCCGTCCTTTACGCACCGCGCTCCCCAGAGCCAGAGAAGCTCCGAGAGCGCTAAAACTTTTCCGAGACTGCGCCCCGGGCTTGGCAAACTTTAGCAAGTTCCTGCTCCAGGAGTCCCGCGGGCTGCGCGCTGGCCCGGCGCAGGCGGAGCGGCTGAGGAGCAAATGATGGGCGCCTTCATCTCCTTCCTTGCCAAGATCAGACAACGCCCCCTACCACCCTTTGCTGGCTGGCGCTCCCTCGGGCTTGCCTCTGCGCTCCCGCGGACTCGTACGCCTCCTCTGAGCCGTCGGCCGAGAGTGAATTCGAATCCGGCGGTTTTAACAGGCGCAGTTGGAGACGCAGCAGTCTGGGACTTGCATCTGGCCGGGCAGGGGAGGGGTGCTTCCTAGGCTGGGTTCCAAGGCCTGAGTTTTAAGGAAAGGTCAGAGATCCTTCCTTAAATGTTCTTGGACTCAACCCGCTTGAATGTGGACACCGCGAAAGCAGTAAAGGGATCCAAGCGAGTGACTTAGGCACCGCGCGTCTCTCAGAAAGTTCTCGAGAATACGGTGTCTATGAAACCTGGTTCCTCCCCTTTTGGGAATGAAACTTGCTTACCGCCTAGGCTAAAAGCCATGGCGAGTCAGTTGACTCGGATAGCGGTGCCGACGGTGGCACCGAGGCGCGGCTGTCCCGGGAGGTGTCGCATTCAGCGAAACCCTTTCGCACAAGTCGCCAGGCCGGAGGAGCCGAGTGGGAGGGGAGTAGGAGGAGGACCAGGAATTTGAAGAGCACAGGTTGGTAGTCTGTGTACCTAAACGGAATACGCCGGCGGGCGAGGAAACCGAAGGGTGCCCCCCCTCCAAGAGAGGGAGGGCTCCAGGGGAGATGCCTGGCGAGTTTCCCTTGAGAAAGCAAGACATTGCAACTGTTAGAGGTGGACCATTTCAGCCCGCTGGTTGTGCTTTAAAAAAAAAAAATTTTTTTTTGTTTACTTTTACTTTTTATTTATTTATTTTTATGCAGAGGAAGCCTTCTGCAGGGCCCTAATTCCTTGTCTTAAGGGGAACCTGCTTCCTTTTTAATTTTTTTTAAATTAGTTATTGATAGAACTTTATTTTATTTATTTCTTTATGAGGTGCTGATAATCGAGCCCAGTGCTTCACGCATGCTAGGCAAGCGCGTTACCACTGAGCCACAACCCCAGCCCCTTTTATAATAATTATTATGTTTTTAAAAGATGGAGGTATCACATGCATACAGTGAAGTAGGTAAAGTGCTCTTACAGTAAACTTTTATCCAGACCGTGTATGTAATCCTTTGCATTGTGACAAATATTTGGTAGAAGGATTAGGAGACTGAACCATCCTAGGAAATAAAGTTAGAACTATTAAATCCTTCTAAAAAAGACCGGCCGGCTGCCCCAGCTGCCTTGCAGTGGGATGAGGGTGGCCATTGTTGGCCACACCAACCTTTCAACCTGAATAACTTGGCAAGGCAGCAAGTCAGGAAGCAAGCCAGGCTGCGGATAGGGTAGTAGGAGAGCTTACCAAGAATTGTACTGTGCCTTAAATCCCCAGAGGTATTATTGAGGGATTGAGATCTGTCCCATTAGACCCTGCAGTTGAAGTGGGTGGGGCTTAGCAATGCTGACTTGGCTTTCTGGAAAGCTGTGTGAGCTGGACCAGCATGGGTTCTATTCTTTGGCATTCTTGCTTATGAAAATGGTAAACTTAGTATCTCTGAAGTCAGCTCTTAATTCAGATAAATGAAACCTTGTCTCTTAAGGTAGCCCATAGTTTTAGAGTACATATATTCTCAATAATTTTTTAGAAAGGAGATTTGATATATTGTATATAATTGTTCAGGTAGCTGCAAGGAGTGTCCCATAAAACATCAAAGTTTTTAAAAAAAAAAATTTTCCTGCTAGGATACCCCTATATTGTTACCAAACAAAAGTTCATAACTTTTTAAGTTACTTTAGTGTGTTACATAGAACTAACAGCCACACTCTTCATGCTGTTTCTTCCACAATACCTGCCTTGTATCCAGAGATTAAATTCCTGTAACTCTGAAGGAAAGGATTTGGCTCTGGGCCTCTTGGTCAGAATTAGTATGACTTAGTTCAGCACCAGGGGCTCTCCCTACTTAATGTCTTCAGACTTAAGCGGCCTCCCCCACCTACCCCTATCTCCCAGTAGTGCACACACTTAGCCCACATCCCCCATTGTTCAAGGCCAGGGCAGATTATGTACATCTTGCACTGACCATCAGAGAACAGAGAATTCCTCCTACTTCTGAAAGTCCAAGGAACAGCTCAGCAATAAAGATAACTTAAAAGTGGACTGTGGTGCCCTTGTTCTCACAGTACCATTAACCGGACACATTTGATACAAAATTGGAAAACTTTTTTTTCCTCCTGCTCCAGTAAGTAGTACCTTATCTTCATCTTTCCTCTTTGATATGTTGTATTTGTGGATTGAGCCACTAAAGGCCAACTTGAGAGCTCTGAATGGATGTGTTAAATCATTTTGCATTACCAGGAAGCCCCAAACTAGGTGCCTGAGTTAAGTTAAACTTTGTTGGGGTTTCTTGGTCTCCTATCTGCCTCTGGATGGTATCTGTTATTTTGTGAGCAGGTGTGGGTGTTTGGGGGTTAAGAGGGAGCAAGGCAGAGTCTGAGGTACTACTTGGGCTAAGACATTACTCTGAATAGATAAGTTGTGCTCCTTTTTCTCATTGCCACTAAGGTAAATGGCAATATGAAAAATGCCTCCTGACATCTTAGTGTTTTAACCGTGGTACACTAAATTAGCTCAAATCCTATTATGGTGAAGCCAGCTCCTTCAAAGATGTGATAGTGTGTTTAAAGTTCCTTGGACATATCAGTAGAGCTGATCTCTTAATAACATTTCCAGGATCTAAGGTTTCTCCAACTTTTTTTTTTTACTACATACATTATAAAGAAGCTTATATTTAGAATGTAATGGTTTATAAAAGAAGCATCTTTATATAACCTATGTTAGTAAACTTTATGAATTGTTTCGAATTAATAGAATTTGTTCAGCTGGCCCCTGTGGCTCGTTCTAGAACTGTTTGCAGAACTTCTTGGAACAACAGGAAAAAACCAATATGAAGAAATAATTGCTGACGTTAAGCAACTCTCCGAGTAGGATGTTTTTTAGTTCCAGAGCATTTAAGAGTCTTGGTCACTAAACCGCGCAGAGTGCTCATTTCTTGGATAACAGTGATTGAGTCAGTAAGTAGTTAAGTGCTTCCTGGGTAGAGCCTCATGCCAGGTACTGAGGAGACCAAGGGAACTGTGTATAAAAAAGCCTGGGGAATTACCCTGGATTCAGGAGAAGCTGGGTTGGCTGTTTTTAAGAACTCAGTTTTCTCAGCCCCTGGCATGTGGGCTCTGTGCTCAGTAGCAGAGTCCCTTTTGCTTGTTGAGAAGGTGGCCTTACACAACAGGATGCACTCCTTTTGTGTGGATACACATTCTGGTGAAGGTCAGCTGGCATTCCTTGCAAAAATGGAGAGAAACTCAAAGTGGGTTCTCTCCTGGTGGCCAAGGTGCTGAATGCTGCTTTCTGGATTAAAAGCTCCTGACCTCAAATGCAGGGCAAATCTCAGGGTCTTCTTTTAAATGGGGGCCTCAGGGTGCAGGTTTGGAGCTGAGGGGCAGTGACTACCAACTCAACAACAGCTGCAACTCCTAAGCCACTCCCGTTTGGTGCCCTTAAGCACTTTCCACACTTCCCACCCTCCCAACACCAGCCCCACAGGGCTCGCTCAGCCTTTCTCTCTCCATGTTCGCTCAGTTGCTGGTTCTGCTGATTCTTTTATTTTTTTGTTTCCCGCTGTCATCACTGACCTGGTTTAGGGACCTGTAGACAGCAGCTCAGTGAAAGCAACAGTGTGTCGCCTCTGGCCAATTCCGCGCATGTACCTGGAATGCCAGCATAAGAGCTCCTAGGACCTGCTGTTAGCTCTGACATCCCAGACTCCCTCCCAAGGATCTGTCCCTTTCTGACTATTCTTGGCCTCCTTTGCACAAGTCTTCTCAGCTGACCTGTCTTTTTTTTTGTGGAGTAAGTACTCAGATACTTGACTAAGTGAATACAACTGCTTCCTCACCATACTTTATTTTAATCCAGCTTTGGGCTCCTTGCACAGGTTTCTGACTGATCTTGTCCTGTCTTAGAGTCCTCCTGTCCCACACCTCTCCTCTTCAGTACTTCATAGTTTTTCCTTGCATAGTACTTTCTAGTTTTTAAAATTTAATCTTTAATTGAATGAGTACCCAAAGTCCCGTATCTGTCTCCATCTTTACCCTCTGCAAGATATCTGGAGAAAACCACCCTTCAAGAGCTAGATCTTGAAATCACCCTTGCCATCACCTTGCCAACATGAACCTTGCTTCATGTTGCCCTAAGCTTCTCTCAGCCAGCTTAGCCTTTTCAAGATGGAAGAAGTCACCCTTTGCCTGCCTGGCTGCCCACCCTGCACTCCAAACATAGTTTGCTGAGCCCTGCTTGGCTTGTCACAGTTCAGGATGGGCACCAGGACTGCTGCTGCGGCCTAATCCTGAGTAGTCTTGGGTAGTTCTGTCTTTTACATGGAATAACCACATGGGGCTGCAGTAGGAAGATTGAGCAGAAGGAGAGGTGAAGCAGACACTAATTAGGCTCCTGCTGTGGCTCTAGGTGCTTACCAAATGTTGCTCAGCTAGACACCAGCTCTGCAGATGGGTCCCATGTTTGGGTCCTTCATAGTCTTTATATTCACCTCCTCTCTGCCTCTCAAGCTGCTTCATTGTGGGGAGACCTGGAT